TCAGTTACCTTAAAATTTTTTATTTCATGTTCATTTTTGAAGAATATGAGCCCATCAATTTTTTCTCCTTTTAGTACTTTAGAAATATTATTCCACTGTCATCTGTTCTCCATTTTCCTCATGAAATGTTACCTATTATGTAGTTTTCATGACTATTTTTTAGATTTTTATTTACTTATGCTTACAGAACTGAGGTGCAGAAGTGCAGGGGCGGTAAGAGGACTCACCAGAGACAGAGTGGGGAGCCAAACAGGCCAACTGACAAAGTACATTGCTGAGGGGAGCAGTGGGCGAGAGAGATGTCTGCCGCACCATGTGGGTCACTTCTGGGGCTGGGGATCAAACTCGCCCTGAAGCGGATGGGGCTAGCTTGCAGTGCTGCGCTTTTAACCCACTGTGCCACCAGGGAGGGCCCCTATTTTTAATGACATTATCTTTGATTTTAATCATTTGCCTATGATATTCCTAGGTATGATCTTTTTAATCAACCTTGGGGAGAAGAGTATAGATGGAAGAAATCAGAAGCAGATCAAGTGAGAAACCTGAAGTTTTAATTTTGTCATACTGTACACACTACACAAGACCACTCAGGAGAAGGGCTGGGCCTGGCCACAGGGAAGAAGGCAAGGTACAAAGTGTGGACAAGCTCCTTTTTTTGGGATTTATCGAGAAATAAATGGGTAAGACAGGAGGAGGTTTAGGACTGGCTAGCTTTAATAATTTAAGCAGGCTCTGGAGCACAGGAGCTGTCCCTGGTTGACTGGTATCTGATCTTGGAGCTGTTAGGGTATATGTTTACTGGGCCAGAGTGTGTGTCTAGTAAGTGAAGTGGTTGATCTTGGCTCCATTAGTTGGTTTTTGATAATCATTTTGAAAACTTCTGAACATTATTTCTTAAAATTTTACTTATCCAAATATTTTTTTTCTACAAAGTTACCACTTGCATATTTGTTATACCTCTTGATAAGGTTACAATGCCAGTTCATTTTTTATAAAAGATTTATTTATGCTTACAGAACTGAGGTACAGGACAGAGGTGTGGTGGGTGCAAGGATTCACCAGAGACAGAGTGGGGAGCAGAACAGGTAGATCTACTGAAATACACTGCTGAGGGGAGCAGTGAGTGTGTCAGGAGAGGTCTGCCACGCCATATGGGTTAGCTCCCTGGCTGAGAATCGAACTCATGCTGCAGTAGCTTCGGAGAGCTTCATAACGTAGTGCTTTAACCCGTTGAGCCACCAAGGAAAGCACGCCTTTTCATTTTTTATGAAAAAACTATTTTTGCTTTTGTTTGGATAATCTATATTAATGTGTTCCAAGTTCACTAATCCTTTCTATTGCAGTATTTAATCTTTTAACCCACCCAGAAAATGCATTTTTTAAAACTTCATCGCTCCTAAAATTCATCTCTTTGTTCTTTGAATCTTTTTAGATTCATTAACATATTTGTAACTATTTTTAAATTCTTAATCTTAAAATCTTGATTGTCCATGGGTTTCTTTTTAAATTTTTAACTCATATATTCTTGTTTAGTTTGACATCTACTGGACATTCTGAATGATACATTATGAAGTTTCAGTAGGCAGTTGAGTTACTAGCAGTTACCTTGATTCATAGGCTTGCTTTTTAGGATTACTTTAGGATTTGGGGACTATTTTAGTTTTGCCCTTAGTCCTTAAATCTTGGTTCTTACTCTAAGGAACAGCTCTCCAAGTCTCTAACCGAAAGCCCAAAATAGTTACTTGCCTCTTTACCTTCATGGGACAAAAATTCCAAACTTTCCCTCACCAACATCAGGTATCTGCTGAGCTTTTCCAGCCTTCCAGCTACAGCTTTCCTTTGGGCCTCAAGGTATCTTGCTTTGTTCAGGCACAATTTAGGAGTCAGCTGAGGATGTGAGGGGAGTACGTAAGGCAAATTCACAGCTCTTTGATTTCTCTCTTCAATTTTTAACTGCTCAGACAGCCCAGAACTCTGATTTGGCTCCTCAGTGCAGTAATATGACTGCCACTTTTATTCTCTAGGGTCACATGAGGAATTCTCACAGAAATGTGGATTTTAGCCCATGTGTTTCTCTTCTTTCAGTGACTGGGTCCCCTCCAGTTTCAGGGCATTTCATCAGCATGTGAATTATCAACAAGACACTTAGTTTGTCATTACCGAAATCCAGACTGTACTAAGTTCAACTGTACAAAATAAAATCGCAAGTTTCCTTTTGTCTGAGTGATGGTGACAAGTGTTCACTTTGAAAAGTCTTATCAAAGTGGTGTGTACATATGTACATGTGCTATATACATCAATTCAAGTTTAGTAGAAGAATAAAAGCAATTTAATATCATCCAGTTTAAAATCCGAGTTCCTGACCCTAGGATCAAATTCATTCATTCTCTGGAACCTCTCCTGGCCATGATTTTCACCACACAGGTCCACTTGCAACTCCCCGAAGACAGATCCTGTTTCCTTCTGCTCTTCCTAGCGTCCTGATCCTTCACAGAGAACTCCATCAGGCCAGCTTTCCTTAGCCACCAAACCCACCACATTAAAGGCCCTCTGCTGTGCTCTCATGGCCACAAGTTCCCCTCCCTGACCTCCACCTCAATGAGCAAGAGTGTTCATTGCACTGGCAGGCAGGAAACAGAGCTTCAGCTCCAGCTCTAACCCCAGAACAGAAGCTAGCACAGAGAATCCACAAAATGAACAAATTCCATGCTGCCCTTCCTGTTATGGAGCACTGCCAGGGTAGTTCTCCAAGACTGGGAATCTAGAAGTGGTATCCTGAGAATCAGAGAATCAGCTGCAACTTGACCCATTCCATCATCAGGTGAGCAGTATGACGCTCAGTTGAAACATAACTTTCCCATCGGGGCTTGCTTCTTTTGCCAGGTTAAGAGGAGAAAATCTGAGCCCTGATAACCTGCCCCGCCTAAAGAGCAGAAAAACTGAATGACTGCCCAGACAATTTTAAAGAGAATGCAAAGTTTATTGTTGCACAGGTCTTATTTTCATTACAGTGCCAGAAAATCCAGTCTCTGCTCATGTCGAGTACAGAGGGCTCTGCAGACATTTAGAGCCCATGCTCTTTCCAAGCAAGAGGCAGCACCTGGACCCATGTTGCATTTAATGAAACAGGGTCACAGTGATAACGAATGATAAAGGAAGCTACTTTTTTTTAAAGTATAGTTTCTTTAAAAATTCTGACATTTACCTTCAGTTTTTCATGATTATCTTATTATTACCAAGTGTAACTGGCTGGAAAACATGGTACTTGATAACCTTTTCCTCAGATTACCTTAGGTTAATGTATTTTACTACTTTTATTTTGATGAGGAATTATGTTTCTGAAATCTAAATGATGACAAGGCAATGTGTATGTTATAGGTGGGAAGAAGACCTTAGACCTTACCCTGACTTGTATCTTCTTTAAATCTTCTACATTTGATCTCTGCTTTGTTAGGTAATTGGGAGACTCCAGAGATAGCCACTTGCTTACAAAATCATTAGGATGGAGTTTAACTCTGTGGGCTACCTCTGGGGAGCATGCAGCTGTTTGAAGCTGACTTTGTGGTTTGTTTTTATAAACTGTCAGCACTTTAAATTGAAACCCTGAGGGGGAGAGATCTCCTCTCAATGCACTAACCACCCAGAAGTGTCTTTTCTGTATTAGATCAAGAGATCAAAGACCAACTAATGAAAGAGAATTGGTATTCTCCAGATACTTTGAAATATCAATGATAACCTGAGTTAATGGAACCTAATTTGCTTGAATTCAATCTGATAATTACCAAAGTCCTGATTAAGATCTTTTCCTCACTACATCAAGCAGGAAAAATATGAATTTACATTAAAAAATGATATCCACCAAACTTGACATGTGACAACTATATTTGATTAACTAATCATTCCACAAATGTCCTCATAAAATCAAACACTTAAAAACCCAATTAAAATCACACAGGGGAACATGGAATATATATTTAAATAACTTCTCACCCTCCACATTTTTGTTACCAAGAGAAAATTCCTGTAAGGTAGTTTTACCAAAATATTTACATTTCCATCAAATTTGATACCATGATCTAGCATTTTATTCAGGAAAAACACATTAGACATTCATTTGTTAATTCCCAAGCTGAGTTACTTCTTTTAATCATTGCGACAATCTTATAAAAGAATTGCTTTCAAGTACTGAGATTTACTCATAATGGGGGAATTGGGGAAGGAGGAATCATTTTATGCCCATTACTCTGAGGATGGTATCTGATCCATTCTAAAAGACCATGTCAATAAGGCATATCCAGCTAAAGAAACTGAGATTTCCTTGCTTCCTATGACCTGGGCCAGCCTCTTTGGAAAGCTGCACCACCATCCCTAGCTCTCAGCCCTTCAGACTGGCTCAGTTCCTGAAGCCAGAGAAGAGCTGCATTCAGGCAGAGCCTTAACAAGATTATAATAGGAGAACTCAGAGACAGCAGAACAAATTAAGCTTCATTCTTGGAAATTATTCCTTAACATACATAAAAAATTTGCTCTCCCAAAAGCTGAGTTTACATAAGGGCCAACAAGGACAGGTGCGTGCACTCAGTAAACATGTAAACATCTGTATGTTTCCATTTGAAATGCCACAATTGACAGACTCAAACTTTATTAATCTTAAAAAAAAAAAAAAAAAAAAAAAGAACATGCCATCACTCTGATGTGTATGGACTGAGTACAATTAAAACAACTAAAAACCACAACCCAGCCCAGCAGTCCTAGCAGCAGGCTATGTGCCTGGGCTTGATCTCAAAGCCAATACCTCTGTTCACAGAACATAGAAGTTCTACAGTATGTTATTCTGACATGTCATATTGCTTCATTTCACTCTGGCACTGATTCACAAAGAAAATTTTCTATTATGGCATGATGAGAGAAAAATAATTGATTACATTTAAATGATAGCTAAAAACAATGCACTGTGAAGTTTCCAGAACGTTGATTGTTTCAGTGCAGCCAACTTCTTGTTTTTCAGTCACAACTTGCTTTCATGTAGTAGAGAAGAGTGACCAAGAACAGCTCTTAGATGTAACTATTTCCTAGAGCATTAGAGCTTTATGCCACTTGAACCGAGAATTACTGGCAAGAGGAGGATCTTAGGTCATTCTAGAAGCAATTGGGTCTTGTAAATTTAGATTTCACTATGAATAAGACTGACATTTCAGTGGTGACAAAAAGGGGCAATGAGGACATACAAACTACACAGAAAACAGGTTTCACATGGCACCTTCCTTACACGGAATATGCATGAAAGATCTGGCAGGAAGACATGGAGAAAGGTGACCAGTTCCATATCCCAAGGGAACCAGCATTTTAACAGCATATCCAGTGACTTTAGTATTTCCTGCTCAACCTCCCAGGAAATAATCTGGGAAAATGCACAAGTCTGTCCATGGTTGTAGACAGAAGCGCCAGCAGTAGAAACCTAAGGCTTAACTAAGTCTAAGATGAAGCTGAGCAAATGTTTTCCCTCCCATTGACCCTATACCTTCAGTTTCTCTGACTGGTAAAGGGCAGGAGGAAGTGAGAGGGTGGGAGGTTGGTCATACTACAATCTTTTTCAAGAGCAATTATTCTGAAGGAGCTTTTTAGCCATTTATCTAATTATCCTTTGAGCCCTCTCCCTAATTTTTAATGGAATTTAAGAAAGCAAATTCAAAAGCTCCTGGTCAGTATGACTGGGAGACTCCTAAGCAATATTTTGTGCATGAATTAGAAAAAAATACATTACTTGATATCTGTGGTAAGACTGGTATTTTTAAAAAAGAATGTAAATCAGTCTTTTCAAAGAGTGGGGTAACAGCTATCCATTTGCACCCCCTCTTCATATTTTTAAAAAGCAAGCACAACATGAAAGACAAGAACTCCATACATTAGGAGGCACAGCCCATGAGTGCTCTCCCTTCAGCCTGAGCAGGTGGAGGGCAGGGCCTGGAGTCTCAACCCACGCAGGCAAAATCTCACAGAAGACTCCATGTGGGTGTCCTCAGGCACTGCAGCAGCAAGGGCTTCCCGAGAAGGACTACTCTGGACTACAGAAGTAAAAGGCAAAATGTAATGACTTAATGAGCTAGTGGTGCTTTGCATGTGGAATCAGAACGGGCGGAGCACAGCTATTTCCACAAGCCAAAGGCAGCCCACAGCGCAAAACCAAAAGATAGAACAGTGTCTAGAAAAAACTGAATTAGACAGTCAAAATATCTCCTGTCTCAGAGCTGGGTGGGGGTTGGGGGGATTTTGTAGAGGAAAGTCACTCTCCCCTGGGTCTGAGAGAGAAAATTCTACAGAGGAGAAGGCAAATGATGTGGTGACCTTCCTGGGAGCCCTGAGCCCTCTAAGTTAGATCACCTGAGGGTTTACTATGGCTGTATCCAGTAAGGAAATCCATAATGGACGGTTTTGTTTTGGTTTTTTTTTCTTTTTTTTTTTTAGAAAATGGGGAGAAAAAGCACAGACTTTCAAAATAGAAAAATTGTTTACAAAACGATTACCTAAAAAGTTTGCCATGGTTGGGTGGGGAATAAAAGTAATGTTTTCCTCTCAAATGAGTCACAAATGGATGCTATTTTTAAAAGAACCAATTTCTAATCTTCTTCACTTCCCCCCACTGGGCCCCAGAGCCCTCCTAATCCTAGTATTTTGCCTACCCTCATTCCAACCCACCCCCTGATCCTGTCCCAAATTTAATTTGCCCCAAGCCAACCCTGAAGACAACTGATTATTGGTTACGTTTCATTTCAACAATGAGCATAATGCTTGGGAGAGAATGCAAAAAGGACCCAAGAGCACTGGCTGAAACCTTGAAGTGTATGAACCTTGGATCAAGCTCCTGCAGGCCCCACAGAGGGCACACCCACACCGGTGTGCCAGCTGCAGACTGAGCTCCAGGCCAGTGAATTGAGGTAAGAAGAAAATGGTGGCTCCAGCTGACGACCTCCTTCCTAGCCCGGCACCTGCTTGCTCATGGGTGTGGGCACCACAGGACTCACTTTCTTCCAGTTTCCTTTGCTACTTTATCTGGTGAGAAGACTGCTCTTTACAGAGTCCCAAAGGATCAGCCATTTTCTTCCTCTGAGGTACAAATCCCATAGAGCTTTAACCCCAATGATCCAGAGTCCACTGGTGTGCCAATGCCAAAATCAAATGCTCAGAATCAAAAGGTGTGGCACACCTACCTGCCCAGCCAGTTTATCAGCAGTTGTATTAGACAAATCAGAAAAAACTAGCATTTAATATAAAAACTGTTTTTCAAATAGTGTCATTTCCTATCCTCTTCAGGAGATCATAATTCTTCACGTGTCTGAGGTCCTATGAGAAAAAAATTTGATTACTGTCAAATTATAAAAATACAAGGCAGGCATTTTTTGGCACTGTAACTCTTCACTTCTGTTCCCACCTTTTCTTTTTTTTTTTAAGATTTATTTTATTTATTATGCATGCAAGAGCTGGGAAGTAGGACAGAGGTGTGTGGGTGTGTATGATGCAGAGGAGGGTTAAGAGTATTCACCAGAGGCAGAGTGGGGAGCACTGAGAAAGACAGGAGAGGTCTGCTGCGCCATGTGGGTTAGGCTCCCTGGCTGGGGATCGTACTTATGCTGCAGTGGCTGCCAACAGCTTCATAGTGCTGAGATTTAACCCCTTTTGCCACCAAGTAAACCTGTCCCACGGTCATTTTATGTCGCTTTATAAATGTTTAGAAATTGCTTTGACATACCTGCTTAATATTTTGAAAGCAAAACCAAAATATTTTATTTATAAGAACACTGAATTTACCAATCCAAGTGGTCTTCACAAGCACAATATTTACTTCCATAAAACTATGCATTTTTGGCCCTCCCTGGTGGCGCAGCGGGTTTAAAGCACTGCACTAAGAAGCTGAAACCACTTTCGCATGAGTTCGATTCCCGCCTGCCCCAGAGGTGACCACATGGTGTGGCAGACCTCTCCTGATGCACCCACTGCTCTCCTCAGCAGTGTACTTCGTCGATCTGCCTTTTCTGCTCCCCACTCTTTCTCTGGAGAAGTCTTTTAACACCCCTTAGTCTCTGGCCTGTACCCCAGTTCTGTATGCACAAATAAATAAATCTTTAAAAAAAAACAAAAAAACTACGCATTTTCAGTCAGGATTCTTCTTTTTTCACTCAATAATATATAAACATTCCCTATTTTAAACTATAGTTCACTTAATTATTCTCTATTCATAGATGCTTAAACTGTTTTTAAATTTTTTTATTTATAAATAATAAATTACTCCATTTATATATCTTTTATGTTATTTCTTTTAAGATATATTCTCAAGAGGAATTAATAAAAAAACAATTAACAAAAAAAGGAATTATTGAGGGCTTCAATACTTTAATGGCTTCTAATGACTAGCTTAACATTTCTTAACAAGGAGAGTTCTTCAGGAAGGTCACTGAACATACAATGGTTTCAACACCATCACAAATGGCGTTATTGTATATGTATATTTTTCTATGTTTTACACAATAATGATAGATTCACTTAGTTTTATTAGTTTCCTCAAACTTGTTTATTTGTCTATACCCTTTGCCCATTTACCTATGGATATCCTTGAGTTTGAGTATTTGAATTAATTATTTTTATGGTGAATAGCCAACTTTGTAGCTGTAATATTTAATATCTTGGTATATTCTTCAGGATATTTAGGTGAATCACTCAAGATCATGGTTCTGTAATTGCTTTTCAGAATTAGTTTTGGGCTGAAGAAATTCAGAGCTCAGATTATTAATAGTTTATAAAAGGTCACTATTGTATCCTAATGATTTTTTTCAACTAGATACCACTTGACATGTATACATAAAGAGGAAAAACATACGAAAACTTATGTTATTTCTAGCTTTAACTAAATTAAATAGAACTGCTATATCCCCACCCCAATGTGTTTAAAAGAGTATTTTTTTCAAATTTGTATGCACTTTGTCTTGATTCTAAATCAAGGCACTGGCATTCATTCACCAGCGCATAAACAGAAATAATGAAAAACCAAGGAATCTTAGACCCTCAAAATTCTGTCAGGTTTGACTTATAGAACATAAAACTCATGAACCTAAATAACAATAATCAGAATCACAGCATCCTTCCCTCAAAAAAAATGTAAATAAATTAAAAAAATAAAAAAGGGTGGCAATAGCCTTAATAAATTTGTTAGAAGACCAGCTGAAAAAGGAAAGTGAAAGATATATCCTGGTTGCTTATCAGCATAGAAGAATTAATGCATGATTCTATTTTATTCCTTTCATTCAGTATTCTGTCATCTTTGAAAAAAAAAAAAAAAAAAAAACCCAGAGATCAAAAATGTTAAGAAGTACTTACTGAAAGTCACAGCTTTGGACTCACCTTTTTGACTTGGCTCTTTTGTTGTCTCTCTATATAATGCTCCCTTTTTTTTCTCTTCCTGAAAACGGATCTGTAGCTGTTTGATCTCTTGATCATAGTCCTGCCATTCTGGGACAATTCGAACAGCAGCTTCCAGTTTGGGCTCTTTGGTCATTGGATTATTACACTGTGAACGAAAATAATGTATTTATCCTGAGTTGAAAAAATGGTATGTTACACAGCATTTAAAGATGTTTCTGTTCTTGAGTTATAGGTCCTAAATGGACCAAAAAAACACAACTGAGGAAGCAATGATATACTAGCAGAAGTAATCTACAGTTAGTGCTTGTATAAGCCTTCTACAAAGAAATTGTGATAAGCTATGTGAAGGCTAAAGAAAGTCATCAGGAAAAATCACATGTCAGAGATGATCTGGAAAATAATGGCAACTTCACGGGTTGTAAGCAGTAAAAACAGCCCCATCAGACACTGTAAGAAAAGGCTTCCTGATGCAAGTTGAAAAAGAGTCCAATAATATACAGCTACAGGCAAAAAATAAAGAGTCTGCATGTCTAGTCATATCTTACACTGGACAGAGATGGAGGAGAGGCCACAGGCAGCTTACCAAATCAATGGTTTTCGCTCTTTTCTTAGAGGCGTCATCACACCATGTTTCACACCAAAGCCATTCTTGAGGGAGGGACTTAATTGGCACCTGATGGATCATGTTATTGGGCAAATCCTATTTGGTAAAGAAAACAAAACACAATAATCTAAAGTTTGTGTGGAGGGGGGATTCAAATAAATGCACAGTAAATGAGTGACATGAGCTGTTCACTGCACTTTCCAATCACCAATTTTTAGAACTGAGAAACTTCAGTTCTAAAATCCTACATAAGCTATAATATTTATGGGGTTTTTTTAACCACAAAATTAGAGGACCCATCTACTAAGTCCTAAAAAAATTTTATTTACAACTGACGAATAGCCCACAACTAGACTGTCCTCCATTAGGGCAATTTGGAAAAAAAATATTGTTGCCTTTTGAAAGTCATCTAAAAACGGAGTGCTTAACTTCCTTCAGTTCTGAATCCATCTTGTCTACTGAGGCTTGTTCCAAGTAGACGAAGCCAAACATATTTTCTTTTCTTTTTTAAAGATTTATTTATCTATGCATATAAGAACTGAGGTACACATGAGGGGCTGCGGGGGCTGGTGATTGAAAGAATTTGCCAGAGACTGGGGAACAGAACAGGCAGGTTGACTGGAACACACTGTTGAGGGAGTAGTGTGTGGGACACAAGAGGTCTGCCACAACATGTGGATCACCTCCCTGGCCAGGGACTGAACTCATGCTGCAGTGACTGCTGATAGCTTCACAGTGCTGGGCCTTAACCCAATGCACCACCAGGGAGGGCCCCAGCATGTTTCCTATGCAACCCTACTCTAAGCTTTGAAGCTTTTTGCGTTTGGTACACACAAAAATGTGCTATTGTCTTAAGACACAAATCACCAATTTGATAAAGCACTTCCCTGTCTGGGTATATACACAAAAAGAACTGAAATGGAAATTTATGTACCCATGTTCACAGAGGCATTATTTGTAATAACCAAAAAATGAGAAAAGCCAGATACCCATTAATAGATGAACGGATAAACTAATAATTGTATATACATACAAGGGAATATTATTCAGTCTTAACAGGAAGAAAATTCTAATATATGCTACAATATGAATGAAACTTGAGAATATTATTCTAAGTAAAATAAGCCAATTACAAAAGAAAAAAAATTGTATGGTTCCAAAAGTACTTAGAATAGGCAAATTCATACAAACAGAAAATAGAATGGAGATCACCAAGAGTAAGGGGGGAAAGGCGGAAAATTTATTATTTAATGGATACAGAGTTTCTGTTTGGGATTATGAAAAAGTTCTGCAAATGTCCAGTTGTACAACACTGTAAATTACTGAATACCACTGAACTGTATACTTAAAAATGGTTAAAATAGGAAAGCCCACGGGGGTTACAACTGATATGGCAAAAGGTACAAAATGAGGTAAAAAAAAAAAAACTATTATATTAAAAAAATGTGCATTCGATTTAAAAAATGTAATCATGTAAGATGGTGGAGGTGTTAACACTGTAGTCTATGGATTTAATCATTTTACTATATATGAGTGGATCAAACTTATAAAATGCAATGTGTCAATTATATCTTAATAAAGAAGTAAAAAAGATCCTAAAAAAAGGTTAAAATGGTAAAACATATGCATATTTTACCATGATAAAAAATAATAAAGGTAAAAGACAGATACTTTCAGACAACAAAACCAAAGGCCTGCAGCAACTTGAGGATCAATATAAAATGGAAGGATGTCAGTAAGAACAGTGAATTTTGTGATGTTTTAATTTACCATACTCCCATTCTGCTCCCTGTGAGCCTTTAAAAAAAAAAAAAAAAATCAGCCTGTATTCCCAAACTTGAGAAATGAGGACATGGCTGCTGGTTTTCGAAAGCTTTATTCCCAAGCAGAGTTACTATTTGACCTGACAATGTGGTTTCCTCCAAGACTATACTGTAAAAGGCTTGTCTACTGAATTTCACTTGATATTGTACAATGGTAAAAGTGTCCCCATGGCAGCATTTGTCAGATATATTAAGCTTGCCTAAGGTGAAACAAAGAATAAATTAATTACAAATCTTAAACGAAAAGCCAAGGAATGGGATTGTCATAGGAGGCTTGAAAAGATCCACATATTCCTGGGAATTAGGTCATGTACATGTGTACGGCTGTGCACATGCTCAGGGCTGTGTACATAAGAAAGACCTAAAAAGGCCCTCTCTAAGCAAGAAGACTAAGGTGGAGATGTAAACAGCCTGACTGACTACTGAGGGTGTCTCCCAATATGCACACAGAGGCCTTTGGCAAAGACTAGGAGTTGTAGTGGTTTTGAGCACTTACAGTAATCTCTGTTCAATCACTACCTGACTACTCAGTTAATGAGACAGACAAAAATATACACTTCACAGAACAAAATTAGAAGTTACAGAACAACCAACCAGGGGCCTTTCCTGGTGGTGTAACAGGTTAAAACACAGTACCACAAAGCTGGCCGCAATCACTTCAGCAGAAGTTCAATCTCCAGCCAGGGAGGTGATCCACATGGTGCAGCAAGACCTCTCCTGACCTACCCGCTGCTGCCCTCAGCAGTGTCTTCATCAATCTGCCTGTTCTGCTGCTCCCCACTCTGTCTCTGGTGAATCCTTTCACCACCCCTGCACCTCTCGTCTGTAGCCCAGATCTGTATGCATAAATAAATAAATCTTTAAAAAAACAACAAACCAGTAGTACAACATTCAGCAACAACTCTAGAGTTGTTATTTGACATGTTCCATTTTTTTTAAAGATTTATTTATTTATGCTTACAGAACTGGGGTACAGGCGAGAGGTGTGGTGGGTGAGAGGATTCACCAGAGACAGAGCGGGGAGCAGCATAGGTGGATTGATAAGTGCACTGCTGAGAGGAGCAGTGGGCTGGGCAGGAGAGGTCTGCCGCATCATGTGGATCACCTCTGGGGAAGGTGGGGATCGAACTCATGCTGAAGTGGCTTTTTAGCTTCTTATTGCTGTGCTCTAGCCGGCTGTGCTACCAGAGAGGGGCCACATGTTCCATTTTTAACAAAAATAGACATAAAAAAAGGTGGGGTTGGGAGAAAGCAAATATGACACATAAAGGGGAATCAAAGCAATCAATAAAACTATATTTGTGGAGGCCCAGATACTGGGCCTACATGACAAAGACTTTAATCAAGTATTTTAAGTATGTTCAAAGGGTCAAAAGAAACTATGTTTAACAGAACTAAACAGAACTAAAGGAAAAGTATATGTTAAAAAAAGTCTCTTAATAAAGAGATAAAAAGTATACAGAAGAATCAAATAGGAAATCTGGACTTGAAAAATAACAAAAATGAAAAATTCACTAGAGCCACTGAAACACAGTGCACAGGAAAAAGAATCAGCAAACTCGAAGACAGTCAATTAAGAGTCTTCAGTCTGAGAAGCAGAAATGAAAATGTAGAGAATTAAACAGAACTTCAGAGACCTGGGAGAAACATCAAACATATCAACATGCACATCAAAGGAGTTTCAAGAGGAAAGAAAAAAAGGGTAGAAATAATATCTGAAGAAATAAAGAAAACCTCCTAATTTGATGAAATACATTAATCTACTTATCAAGCAGCTCAATGAAATCCAAGAAGGAAAATGCAAAAGAGACCCAGACCATCATAAGGAACCTTATGGTTTATACCTAGACCATCATAAGGAAACTTAAAACCTATAAGAGACAGTAACTTGTCACAGACAAGTGAACCTGAAGATTAACAGCTAATTTCTCTTCAGAAACCAAAGAAGTCACAAGACTCTGACAGTTTCCAAAGTGCTGAAAAAAGAAACTGTCAAGTATGAATTTTATATACAGTGAAATTATTCACTCATGAAAAAATATACACATTCTCCAAAAGTTTATAGCCAACAGTACTGCTTTACTGGAAATCTTTCTAACTTAAAGAACACGAGGAAGTAACAAAACCACATAAAAAGAACTGCATGAAAAAATAAGGAATACTAGTAAAAGTACACAAATAACTATAAAAGATATATCTACATATTTTTCGTTTGAAGACACTATCACCACCCCATCCCAAATTTGTAGTTTAAAAATTACAAGGGTAAAAATCATAAATCTGAGTCAATGGGCATTGTAATGCATAAACATGTAAACTGTATGACAGTAACAGCATAAAGATGGGGAGGAAATATATAGGAACAGTTTGTATACTACTAAAATTGTTATCAATTAAAACTGTTAGATTATCATAAACTATCAATGATAATTATGAAGACAATAACTAAGCAATATAGTGTAAAGGAGACAAGGAAATTAAAATGATATTCTAGAAAGTATTTATTTAACATAAAAAATGCAATGAGGTAGGAATTGACAAACACAAGACATTCAGAAAACAAAAATGCCAGATATAATGCTAGCTCACTACATTATAATTTAATAACTACATTATAAATGTAAATGAAATTCTCCAATTAAATGTTCATAGTAACATTACCCATGGAGGACAAAATAAAAAATAAACCAAATGTAGACTAGATAAAACACAGCACCACCTCACACAATAACACAGGTGAATCTCACAATCACAATGTTGACTAAAATAAGTTAGACTTGTAAGCATACATCTTTTGTGAACCCATCAAGATAGGGAGAAAACAGCAGGTAAAACTATTAATATTTCAGGATACAAGTTTAGATAGTAATTTTATAATGAAAATCAATGGGTTGATCAACGAGAGACTGCTGAATACTTTGTCAAAGATGAAAGGTAGCCTCTGGGCTGCTGGTAATGTTCTGTTTCTTAAACTGGGAGGCGGCAATTACTTTCTGGTAATTCACTGATAGATACCAATATGTATATAATTGCACATTTTTGAAAATTTTTTATGGGTGCTACATGTCACAAGAAAGTTTTCAAAATGTATAAACAAAACAAAAATGTGAAATTGTATCTAAAACAAACTATCTCACCTCTAAAAATTGCTCATAATTAATAACCAGCAAAATCTCTTAAAAAACACTGTGGTTTCTGACATAAAAGGAAATTGTGGTACTGCTGTACTCTATATTGTGAATACAAAGCCAGTTAGTTCCTGAAGAGAAACAAACTGGCCTTAGAGGGAATGAAACCAATTTGTTTAATTAGCTTGGGTATAAAATACCCAACATCCTCCTTCCACCTCCTTTCCTTCCCAAACAGATCTAAGATATTTTTCACTGCTGTCTTCCATTGAGGACAGATAAAATATACATACACAACACACATTCTTTTCTATGAAGTAACAAAACAATATCCAAGAGGGTTAAGCTGCAAATAACATTTCATTTTCTGATACAATATTGTACAACACTAAAAAGTATAAACAAAAAATATGGCTACTTACTTGATCCAGATTTGAAAGGCTATTAGGATCCTGACTCAGACCTTGGTACTGTCCCCTGAGTCTGTCACCAGCAGCTATTTTCCTAAATTTCTTCAAATCCACGACATAAAGTGCACTAGATAAAGAAGATCCATTTGTCACCATGGGACAGAAGAAATAATCAAAATGAGTAACAGATCATATCACTAGATATACGTTTGCTTAACTCAGAAAAGCTGAGACCCTACAGTGGAACTGGGGTCAGTATGTGCAACTTCAAAGATGGCTAAGGAAATTAACACAAAACTCATATATTCTTGTCACTACAAGCTCACTTTGTCATTCTTCATTTTCTTCCAAAGGAAATAATCTCTGACAAAAATGATTTCTAGCAAATGTCAGCAGATTAGGTAATAAAGGTTACAATAAGTGATAAATAATCATCAGTGAACAATATTCTGAGGATGCCTTAACTGTTGCAGAGGGGAAAGCCTCATGGAGTTATAGTTCTTTAAAGCAAAAACATAAAGTTTAACACTGAAATTACCATACCCCAACATTTTCTCAGTATATGCTGCTTCCTACAAATCCCCTTGCCCTCCAAATCTGCCAAGTCACATTTTACCCAAAGATAATATCTACAGATAATGAATCTAAGTAAGTATTCATTAGAAAAGTCACAAGTGCATACATTCTCTGACTTAGTTCTACTTCTAGACATTTTTCTTCCATGTATGCTTGCAATATACAAAATAATTTGCTACAACATTGTATGCCATAGCCAAGGACTATAAATAACATATATGGGAATAATATGCAGATATGAAATGGAATACAGTCTCCTTCTACATAATGATAAAACAGTAGAGCTTAAGTAACAAAAAAGCAAAAGCAATGTATAAAACTATAAATAGGATGATATATTTTTGGTATGAAAATAACTCACATGTTATGTAAAAAAGAACAGTTGTTTACGTAAGAATTAAACTATGGTATGGAAGGACATACAGTAAATTAATGGAGAAAGTTATTTGTTGTAGAAGTAATCAGGAAACAGACAGGAATGGCTTTTTCACTGTATATGTCTCTTAATTCTTATTTCTGGACCACATTAATGTATTACTTATGCACAATTTTAAATACACAAAATTTCCAAAAGGGAATACCAAATCTAGAATTAAAGCCAAAAGTGGGGGAAAGGAACGGTGGAAAGCAAAATATGTAAGATACCCGGTGGTGGAGGACCGTGGTTAGTGGTAGGTGTGGTGTGCTAACACACTCTGAAGAAGTGCGCAGCAATGAGAGTACTCCCTTTTCTGTACCTGATATGATACTTTCGTCCAGCTAAGTGACTGGCCCAGTATCCTGATTTCCAGAACCGGTATCCATCCATTTCTCTTCGGCTATCGCAGAAAGGAGTATAACCATACGGGGCACCATCCAAATTGAAATCTCTTAACTCTTTCAGATCTGTTCGTACAATCTGGATTAAAGATCATAGTTCTTTGTTAAAAAATCATGTAGAGAGCAGATTCCTTGAAATATATCCTCACTAAAGGCACTGTGGAGGAGAGCTGAGCTCATGGAAAGCACAGGGCCCAGCAGCAGGCCCATTTTGAGCCTGAATTCCTTATATTCTCACTAACATGTAAGCCACTCAGACTACTTCTTGACACAGCATTCTAAGTAGTCAAAAAAAGAGCAGAAATTAAAGTTACATTACTTAATATCTCTGTGGCCCCACCTGTGAAAGAAGATAACAGTAATACCTACCTCACATTCATTGCATGAATTAGTGTATAAATCAAGAGGCACTGTGATGCCTAGTATGTAGTAAATGCTCAAAAGAATTAACTTTCCTGATATTAAAGTCAGAAAAGCATGCTTCAGGTTAACAAGGGTGACCTAAATGTGCCAGATGAGGCAGTGGATCCCAAAAAGGTCCATAAAGCCTTTGTCTAAATTGACTTTTGCACATACTATACCACTCCCAGAGGTTTCAGCCAGCTCAGCTGAAGAGGGAAAGCTGTTGGAATTGTATTTATACATTTTTCAAGCTCATATGCTCAAAAACTTCAGTATGTTTCCTTTAAGTCAAATCCCAACATCAGGAAGATTTGCTGAAGAACTCCACATTATTAAGAAGTTCTACTTGAAGCTTCTCTCTTACCCATGCTTTTGGGAAAATAATTGGAAATGATGGCAAGAAATGTTGAACCTCAATTTTCTAATTTTTAGTTCTTATAAGTTAAATGTTGAACCTCAATTTTCTTATATGTTTAAGGAATTAAACAAGATACAAACCTGTGATATAATCACAACTATGTAAAAATGGTATAGAACAAAAAATAGGAGGTATGACACATGCAAATTTTAAAAATGAACACATCTAGATGATAGCTCTCCACGTGATCAAAATAATGCAAAATAAGCACGTACTTGTCTATAACTGGAAAAATAAAACCATTTAAGAAGGAAGATGTTCAAACATGGCCTTGAAGAGCTTACCTGATCAGCATCCACGAACAAAAATTTGTCAACAATTAGTGGAAAAAGCACGTCTAAGAAGAGTATCTTGTAACCCCAGATGATACGTTGCTTTTCAGTCTGTTGATGAAGCCATCGGGGCCATTTGTACTGAACAAGCTCATATTGGAAGTTGTATTCATTTGCCATGTAAGGTATGAACTCCTATTTTTACACACAGGGAACCACAATCAATTTACTTGGTTAAGAAAAGTGACTTAATAATGTAAGTCAACAACCATCACAATTTTGACACAAGTAAAACACATTTACTGTAACAATGGCCCTACATACAATCTGACCCCAACTTACTTGTGACTCCAGAAATAGACACATATACACTTTCATCAAATCCCCATTTCTTTATGATTTCTAATCACCACATAAAATAACAAAAATCTTTAAGTCCTTTAGATAACTAATTTATATGTGCATAAGAGAAATAAGCTTTACATTCATTTGTGTAAGTATAATTTCATTAAAACACTTTTGAGCTTAATTTTAAGCCGTTCTCAAGGCTAGGTCCAACTCAGGTAATAACATGGCAAAGTCAAATACTCTAAATACTGTCAGAGGACCAGAAGAAAGAGAGAACTTGTAGGAGTTACTGTACATTTTAACTTTTATAGACCAACAACAAAAGAAGGTGCAAATATATCAATTTATACAATAAATACTAGCAGTAAGAATGCAGAAAACTTCCCAAGTGTGTTCTCTGTTCTGCATAGATGAAACAGGACTTCGTATATGACTGGGTTCATAATAAAACTATGGGGCCCTCCCTGGTGGTAGAACGGATTAAAACACAGCACTATGAAACTATGGGCAGCCACTGCCACAAGAATTCATTCTCCAGCCAGGAACTGACCCACATGGTGTAGCAGACCTCTCCAGTCTCCCCCTCCTGCTCCCCTCAGTAGTGTATTTCAATTGATCTGCCTGTTCTACTCCCAACTCTGTCTCTGGTGAATCTCACCCTCAAACCTCTGGCCTATATCCTTGTACTTGTATGCATAAATAAATAAAATCTTAAAAACATAAAGTAAAACTAAGCATTTCCCTCAAGCTAGGATGTGCATACTTTGAGGGAAACAAAGTCACAGCATCAAAATATTGCAACTAAAAAAAGACTTTCCTATGTATAGGAATGACTTTCTATGTATAGGAAAGCTTCACAATGGTCATATTTTGTGTTTGGTTTTATAACACCTATTACCTGCAAAAAGACCAGTCTGAAAGAATAATCAACATAGAAATTTACATTTGAGTTACTAATAAAAAAAATCCAATAATTACTCAGATTAAAGTAGATTTCTTTTTCCTGAACAACAAACCTTAAATGTGGGGGACAAATAATTCTTCAAGAACCAGAATTTCACAGGAGTCTTGGTATTCTTCAGTACTGAGAGCATCATTATGCTGTCAAACAAAAGCAAGTAACAATAATAACTACCTCCAATACTTTCAAAATTAGAGTTAAATTCAAAAGTAGAGTTAATCATGAGACCACCAAAAGTTCTTCAAAGCAGAACTAATTCATCAGGCAGGACCCTTAATAATGGCAAATTGCACTTTCTCCTTCCTCAGAGATTATCAAAGAATGGGAAAGGTGGAGTATTTTTCACTTGAAAAACGTGTACCTAATCGATAAAAACAAATGTTTTAATTATGGTATATCTTTAAATAAACTGCCTGATTAACTCTATTAATTATGACGCAAATGAATAATGGGAGTTGTGGTTAACTATGTCACTCTAAAAGAGAAAACCCTTGCAGTCACAGCAGCTGTATAAATGCACTCCTCCCACAGCCCACACTGGAGAACTCTGCAGGGAGTGGTGAGGGGCAGCAAAGGGGGTCCATTTCAGGGTTCCCTATTTTGAAAACAAACAGAAACCAATATTATGTCAAGAAATTTAATTAAATTCCACTGTTACTAATATATGATATTACTAATTTCAGATAATATTTCTTGATTAAGGGCTCCACATGATTAAAATGTATTTTGCTCTTTTAGATTTGCAGTGAAAAATTCAAAGTAAAAAGAACCCTGGCCATTAGGAAAGTCCCTCTCAAGAGGAGGTACATCTCCCATCTCGATCACCAACCATAGGCACTCCCAAGGACCTTTCCCTAGTTACCAGCCCAATGTGTGACCTCTACTGACTAAGTGATCTTAGGTGAGTATCTTCACTGCTGAGCTTCAGTTTGTCCATAACATACAGATCTTCTAAGGTGAGAACTAAGATCCCTCCTGGGTCCAAAATCCAATGAGTTCTGGGAGGTCCATGGTCTTGTTCCACTTCTATTCTCTATGTCCCTGTCCCATTTCTGATTGGAAAAATGCTTGGGAGCCTATTAAACACCACTACTTACAATGTGGCTGCAGTGATATTAAAGTTTTATAGCTTGTAATACACATAGAGCTACACGTACTGCCTACAGCTATGCCACAAATCAAAACAAATATAATCACACATGGTCACAGTTCTCAGAGGGCTTCAAATACACAGTGGGCAGAATCCCATAAAACTTTTACCCCTCACTAAGAATATTATGACATTCATTTATACAAGTATATTGAAACAATCAACAAGACTGACCGAAGAAATCTTTCATAGAGATGACCAGATGCAACAGAGAAAATATTGATGATGTCATCTTTTTCTTGTTTCACATCCTCAGTCTTCTGTCCTCCTGAAAAGCCCCTATAATCAGGAAGGTAAAGACAAAAACATTTGAAACAGTGATGCAGATACACAAACCTTTAAGGGAAGAGGTAGTGAAGGTGGTGTTTTCTAACCCCTTGCACTTGGAAGTGGGCACAAAAAAGCAAAACCAGCTCCCAAGATAACACAAAGGATACAGCCCACAAGATCCTGTGTTGCTTCAGGAAAAAACTGAGCACAGGCTATTCCCAAGAATGCTACCAGTACAACGCAAAGTAAACCAGGTAATTTTATTAATCAGCTCTCCAAAAAGGACTCACCCTCCAAAGCCACTTAAGAAATAGAGTAGAAATAATATGGCCATGCAGGCGTATTAACCTCTTTTGGCTAGTTCGAGTAAAAAATAAGCATCTACTCAATATGAGTAGATTTGACCACACATGAGTAGGATCTAAAAAGCCCAGATATGATTATGATTATTACAATCACAAGAAGGGAACTGGAGCTTACAACTCAGCTTTTCCTTAACCAAAAAAAAAAAAAAAAAAAAAAAAAATAATCATTTTATAAATGATGCCAGTTTACCATTTAAAGGAGTCCCAAAATCCAGATTCATTCTCATTAGTTCCATCACTCAGCAAATCTTCATTCACCATATCTGCCTTCTTCTGAACCTGCAATCATGGGATGAATCTTACTCCTCTTACTGAGTTTAACCACCATTACTGACTTTCCCTGCAACATCAGGGAATTCATTCTTTCACAAACAAGTACAACCACCCAGAGTCTAGACCCAGTCAATGAAAGTATCGCTATATCATTAAAATCTAAAATAAGGGACAGCACCTCTTTTACTTATGCAATATTGTTTTCAGCTTAAAAGTGAACAAAAAACTTCAAATTCAACTGTGTAGGAAATACAATCTGAATGAGAACAGAAGCACAATTCACTAAGCTCATGAACTCTGTCAAGAAGGGGTTACTTCCTGTCACAGCCTTTTCCCAGGACTCACTAGTAGAAAGATAGGTTGAATCTTCTCTAGAACGTGGGATCATTTTATACTCAACCATGTGAGGAGTGCTTTAGACTTAACTGCATGTAGTGACCCCAAAATACCTTTGACTTGAACTTAAGATACTGAATCAAAAGAAAGAAATAAGTGAAAAGAAATTAAATAGGGCTACCATTTATTACTGTTGTTGAAAATTTCAATAGCTTTGTCCCAATTTTCTAAGAATAAAATTATTCATAATAATATGAGTTATGGCTATATAAACAATAATCTGTGAAAACAATTTATATAAAATGAGATTCGTATTACTCACTATGAAAGATAGTTTCTCAAGCTAAAGAAAACACAAACTCATATTTACAGTAGACATTTTATATTTAAAGCAACATTCCTACAAATAATACAGTAAAATTCTAAAACTGAGGTAAGTTTTAGGCTGATTTCTTTTTTTCCTTAGCTTTAATGAAAATATAATCAACAAATAACATTATATAAATTAAAGGTGTACAGCCTGATGATTTGGCATGGGGATATATACTGAAATGATTACCATAGTATTACTGAAGTTAAACACTTCAATATACTCAAATAGTTTGGGGCTGATTTCAAGACACGTATTTCTTCATAATAGCTATCAAGTACCAAATTATTGCTACCTTTACTAACTATAATATGTGAAACTTACCTTCACTTTAATAATTTTACTCTTAAAGTTGTTGAGGACAACAACAACTTCACTGGCATCAGGAGGAGAATCTGTACCATCATGGCTTCGAGAGAAAAGAAAGTAAGATAGATGTTAGTTAAGTCATAATTCTCAAAATGCAGTAACTGTTCTGTATCCAGTCTACCATATCTGGACACCATCTTCATCATAAAGAAGCTTTTCAGATTTCAAATTATTTTCTCACAAGCTGCAAAAGTGCCTTCAAACTACACAAAAGCTCTTGACTAATCTCTAGTCTAATATGTATCCATTCAGAGTGCAAACTTCTGTCTAGAGTTCTCCTTCAAAATGTCTTTCACAAAGTAAGGCTCTAGTGCTGGAGGGACACTGAATACTAAATCACCACTGGTCTGAAATGCTTTTTTTTTTTTTAAGATTTATTTATTTATGCGCACAGAACTGGGGTACAGGCCAGAGATGCAGGGGCAGCGAGAGGATCCACCAGAGACAGAGTGGGGAGCAGAACAGGCAGACTGAGGAAGTACACTGCTGAGGGGAGCCGTGGGCGGGTCAGGAGAGGTCTGCTGGCCATGTGAGCACCTCTGGGTGGGGATCGAATTCATGTTAAAGTAGCTTTAGCTTCTTAGTGCTGTGCTTTAACATGCTGTTCCACCAGGGAGGGCCTTGTCTGAAATGCTCTCTAAACAAATTTCACCACAGTTAATAAAAACATAATTGATTTTGTAAACAAACCCTATCTCCTACAACTTTACTAAACTCAGATGTTGGTTATCTTTTTTAAAAATATATAGCTAAGGAATTTCAACAGGTGATAATGTTGGCTGTGAATAAAGTCATTTTTTCATTCTTCCTTTCCAAAAAATTAAACCACCATTGGTATCACAGGTCTCCAGTGACTTCACTAAAAGGATGCCTGGGCTTCCTCAGCACTATCATGGAAACATGTCATTTCTTTTTAGTGGACAAGAACCAAAACAAGGCCCTGCCTTGGAGTTTTGCAAAGGGATCTATCTACTCTTCTGTCTGGAGATATAATACTCTAGAGTTATGTCTGTACTCAATATGGTGCCCATATTTTGGAGGAAGAACTATCATAAGCTCTATGTGTAGGCAGACAGGGCAGAGGAGGAAAAAAATAAATAAAAATAACCAGTCAACTGCAATTTCCGATAACCAATTATCAAGATGTTAACTGCAGAAAGCCACAGAAACAATTCACTGAACTCACTATCATCCAGCAGTTTTTTCAGACAATGGTAAAATTCTGATGGGGAGAGTGAAACAGCCAGAGACCTAGAATCTCCAATGGAAACAACAAGAGGAAGGAAACCTTAGATGGCAGGAGAGTGGCCAGAAAGGGCATACAGAAGGGACAGGGTTGAGAAGGACAACAGATAAACTTTTTATGACAGATTCTGTTAAACCATGTCTGGGGAAAACATTATTTGGGGATTAAAAAAAAATCTACTATAAGCAATGAAGATGTTATTGTAATACAAGCCTTCAATATCCTGAGAAGGAAATAGGCAGCTATCCAAAATAGGTTTACCTGGGTGTTAGCTAAGATCCTATGGAGCTGAGATGAGGACATATGAGGGCATTTTAAATAAATTCAAATGGGAACCATTTCCTAAGTACATTGAAGTGATGTCTGTTCACACAGCTTAAAACTAATTTACCTTATGTTCACAAGAATTTAGACTGTACTGTTTTAAAAAAGCATTGCAATTTTTTTAAATAGTCACCTGTCGTAAACCTGAAAGCAAAAGCCTGGTTACTGAGAAAATGCTCTGGGAACACACCCTACCGCAGTCCAGAAAGTGCCAAGGTTTGATGATCAAATCATATATGTGCTGAATCTCTCAACTCATCAAGGTCAAAACATGTACTAACCTGTGTACAAAAGTTTGACTATTTTTAATTTTTTTTCTCCTTTCTTGAAATGACTCAGTCTCATCTGTCTTTGGCTAAAATCACTGTGACTACTAATGTTTTAATTATAGGAGACTGTTAGCACAAAGAAAAGACTAGAGAACAAAACTTGACTTCTTACTAGTATCTATTCCAATTGTCCAATTATATAGCCTCACAATTCCCATATTTAATTTCCCAAAAAAGCACTATTTCATAAAAATTAAATTCCTATTACCTGGCTAATTGCCAGGGCAGTTTTAATATATTTTCATTCTCATTGCAAAATTTTCTGTAAAAATGCACCTGTATCATTTAATCTTACCTGTAAATTCTGTAAATATCTTCAGAACGTCCCTTCCTTAGTCTGAGAATCCAAGCGCCTGGATTGGCTTTTAACTGGAAGTAGCCCTAGGCCAAGAAGACAAAAATTTTAGTTTACTTTGAAACATCAACTTCTGAGAGATACTTATTTTCTTTCCTGAAATAGCAGTCATCCATATTTCAAGATCATCAACATATCAGTGTAACGATCAAAAAGAAATCTAAACACTAGAAATACTAGCAAAATACAGGACAGTCAAGTCAAGAAACCTAGCTGTACTTGGGTAAAAAGAATTAATGTGATATGTGAATTAAGTTTCAACTCCCCAAATACAGAAAACCTCTATACGTTTATAAATAATGCATTTCAAGGTCCAATATGGTTAACACAGAATAGTACTGCATGTTTTCTTTAAGTTGACATGTATATAAGTTTCATTCAATGAACTAATGAGTTCATGAATTTTTAAGTCACTCATGCTGAGAATGCTAATTGTTCTGTCAAAATTGTAGTACCTGAATTAACATAACTCACTATCATCATCTGAAGAACAGCTATTTACCAGATTGGCCATAACAATGGTATCCACGATGACAGGGTTAGCTGAAGTTCCTAATGTAAACTGCAGTCCTCGTGGGGGTTGGCCTGTGGTGATGTCATAGCAGTGACCTTCTAGTAACAGGTACTCCAGCTCATATTCAGCAGCCACTATACTGTCCACCTACAATATCAAAATTATATCGCTTTAAGATTTGGCAGAAATAAAAAGAAAATGTATTTATTTATATACATTTTACATCACCACTCATTCTCAGGTGTAATCCCCATAAATTACCACCACCAAGACACCAAACTATCACCATAGTCTGTTGTGCTTTTTCCTCCCTATTTTGATTCCTTTCCCTTCTTCTCCCCAGCTGAATGTTTCTGATTTATAGTTTGCCCACTAGTTAGATCTTCCCCCCCCATCCCTAATTTGTTTCCCTGTGTTCTTCCTTTTCAGTACTTTTCTCTTTCCTTTAAAAAGAAAGTACTGATAAATGCAAAACAGGGATGAACATCAAGTACATTAGACAAAATGGATAAAGACAGACATACAATGCTAGACACTGTATGATCACCTTAATAAGAAATTCAAGAAATGACAAAACTATAGTGACAAAAAACAGGTCAGTCATTGCTTAGAGCTGAGTTATGGGGTGGGGCTGCCTGCAGAGGGACTGCAGGAACATCTCAGAGTGAGGGAAATGCTCTGTTCCTTGATTGTGCAAAGGAGGGTTGAAAGGAGAGTTGGGGAAAAGGAGGTTATTTAAGAGAATTATTCTAAAAATATGAAAGGAGAGGATGAGATTCTAATGTAGGAAAGCAATTATCAGGAAAAAAACGTGTAAAGCAAACTGCCAAAAATATGAACAAAGCTAAAGGCTAAATAATGGACAAAAACAAACTCAATCCTACAAGTATTAACTTAAATGAAGAAACAGGAAAGAAATGCAAAAGATCAAGAAAAATGCAGATTCATTTTGGCCTTCAGAATATAGCTGAAAATATCACTGTTCTAAATGGAAACATCCAAAGTGTATTTAATGGCTCCAAAATTATATACAATCTTTCATGTTCTCCAACAACTGTTGACATTATTGCTGATTCCTTACCAAAAATATGGATGCCAGGTTTTAGGGCAATTGGCTTTAGGAAATTTTAAGAGTTTGTATCCCAAAGCTACATCTGGCTTTGTAACCTCATTTAATGCTAATAAACACACTCTTCAGAGCTTAATAGGTTACTGCAATACTAAATGACAATAAAAGCTAAGAGAGAAATGACAATATAAGCTAAAAAAGAAATCTCTACATGCCTACCATGTCTTAGGCTCTATTCTCACTAGAAAGCAGAAAAACTGGAAGAAGTCTAAGAACAGCAAAGACACAGGATATAGAAGTAACCTTTGCATTTGATTCTATACTTTCTTGCACTGTTCCATTGTGTATTTGTGGACAATCTGTAATCTCTTCAGCAAAAATTGCCTCCTCAATACTGTGCAAAATATTAAAAGTCAACAAAATTTAATTTCAAAAACTAAAGGTAAAATAGTTATCAGTAACTAGAAAATAATTTAATTGCAATTCCAGAAACAAAAAAAACAAAACAAAAAATTGCCTCCTCAATGGTAAAGCCCCATATTTCCCATTTGTTAAAAATATGATGGATAGGGCCTCTTTGGTGGCACAAAAGATTAAGTCTCAGCATTATGAAGCTATCTGCAACCACTGCAGCACTAGTTCGATTCCCGGCCAGAAAGGTGACCCACATGGCATGGCAGAACTCTCCTGACCTGCCCACTGCTCCCCTCATCAGTGTATTTCAGTCAATTTGCCTGTTCTGCTCCCCACTCTTGTCTCTGGTGAATCCTCTCACCCCCTGAACCTCTGGCCTGCACCCAATTCTGTATGCATAAATAAATAAATCTTTTTAAAAATCCTTTTAAAAAAGAATATACAAAGAACTCTCAGAATTCAACAAATGATAAGCCAATTATTAATAGGCAATGGTGAATAAACATTTCTCCAAAGAAGACATACAATCAATAAGCACATGAAAAAATGTTTAACATCTTTATCATGTAGACAGAAATGGAAAATGTGTGCAGTCACTTCAAACACAGCTTGGTATTCCTCAAAGATTGAACAAAGAATTACTTCATAATCCAGCAAGTCCATCGTCAAGTATATATACCCAAGACTATTAAAACTTGCACACAAATATTCGTAGCAGTATTATTCAGAATAGCCAAAAAGTAGCAACAACCCAAATATCTACTGATGGATAAATGTGTTATGTCCAAGCCATGGACTATTATTTGGCAATAAAAAGGAATGAGGCACTAGTACACACTATAACCTTGAGAATAATTTGTTAAGTGAATCACAAAATATGTGATTCGATTAAGATGAAATGTCAGAGGAGGCAAATACACAGTGACAGAAAGATGAGTCGCTGACAAAGCCAAGGGGCATGAGGAGCACCTGCTAATGGGCACAGAGCTCCTTTTAAAGGTGACGAAAGCATCCTAACATGAGACTGGTGACAGAGGCACGACTCTGTGAGTATAGTAAAATTGCTGAACTGTAGTCATTGAAAGGGCAAAGGTTATGCTACATGAATTAGACCTACATTAAAAAAAAAAAGTGACATCTCAGAGACCAACACAAACTGTGATTCACCTTGTCCATTGAGTCTCACTTAACAATACATCTTAAACATGACTAGACACTTGGAAGGAATATTCTTACCTCTTCTAAGTAAATATTATCAAGATCATATGGTGTTCTGACAGACTCTACCATCCAGCTCTCAGGGGTATTCAAATTCAGAGTGAACAAAGGAGACTGCGGCATGTCCAAAAATTTTGCTATTGGACCCTTGGCAAAGCTATGTTCTGACGTGAAAGAAATTTCTGGTTCTAATACATAACGGTAAAAACTGAAATTGAAAAGAAAAATGTAAGTTTTTTAGTGCAATCACAGTCCTTGAATTTACAGGATTCAAAGACTCAAGGAGTTTACAGCCACATGCCACAAAGGTGAAGAACTTAAAACAAACAACATCTCTTGACCTAGTTATACTTCCTGTGCTTGTTATAGATGAAGAATAAGGTTGCAAGCCTGAGAAAGGTCATTTTTTCCAGTACTGCTATGTCTAACTGTAGCGAGGCTGACAAGCATTTCCTAGAAACTGCCCTTCCTTTGATATGAAAAACTCATTTTTATCTTAAAATTCTAAAGTGGGTTCTCAGGCCAGCCCTGAAAATACAGTATGTAGAAGTTTAAATACCTCTCCTATATAAAAACAGTGGTGAAGCTGTGAACCCCTTAGTCACTTTCAATTCACTTTAAATATAACCTATAAAACCAGCACATAACCTGTAGCCCAAATATGTGCCACACTATTACTATAAATGCTTTTTATTAGCTCTTATGAAACATGGCCATTCCAGACAGTACAGCTGGTCCTACCTTCCTTTTCAAGATTCATGCAAATGAGCCTTAGCAAGTTTTTTCTGACATATATAGGCATGTCTTTCTGCATCATTGCATGTTTTAATTTAGTAGGTAATTTTTAATAGCTACATTGATCAAAATATTTTAAATTAGAGAATTAAATGATTCTGACACCAACTTCCCCCACCCAGCAACACAGTGTAAGCAGTCTGGCTAAATACCAACTAAAGGTGTCTGAGTCCATGCTAAGTGCTCAGAAATTCTGATTAGAGCCAAAATTTGCAAAAGTGAGCATTCAATGAATGCTCCTTTCAAACATGGTATCCTCAAATAAATTAATCTGATCCCTAATATTCAATATCAGCTTTCAACTTTAGCATCAGTTTTTTAATTATTGACTTCTTAAACAGTTTACCTTTTCAAAGGCATATCAGAAAGTTTTGATTGGCAGTTCATAAATATTCTTAAATTCATGTTGATCAGCTGAGTTAAAACCTAAAAGTAAACCAGAAGACAAAACATAAAATTTTTCCCAGAGAAAATGGGAAAAATATTTGAGAAAATGGAAAAATATTTGAGAAAATGGGAAAAATATTTGAGAAATTACATTTTTCTTCAGAAATTTATCACCTGACACTGACCTGAGAGGCTGTTTCTTAGTATCTCAACAAGAGATATAAAAGTAGTAACTGCCATAAAGTTTGCAATGGTGAAGTTTCTGGCAACCACAACTATACAAAATGTGAACTGTGCACATCACTGGGTCAAAACCATTGGAAGGCGGTTATGGTACATTACTGCTCCCCACATATGCAGTGAAGCAATAGGTAAAGATATACAAGAAAAAGCTTTAAAGGTTCATCAGTGCAGCTTAGACAATGTAAGATGAAGATATACCATATTCACATGTACACAAATATCTGACTATACTTCAATAAAACATTACCATAAAAAATGCTGAGGCAACTGTATGTGGAAGAGTTCTTTTAAATCTTAAAACTGTAATATCTTAGACATATTTAAAAGGCATAGTGCCATTAAGAAATGTTAGTTATTTAAAAAAACAAAAATAATAAAGAATTTGTTTGCCTTTTGAGCTCTTTCCCATTATAAATCAAAATATGGTTTAAGTCAATTAAATTCAAAGACTTGTTCTAAGTGAGGATGATGTTTTAAAAATTACATGTGGTAGCCACCCAAACTTTTATCATCTTTCTAAGGCTGTAAGGTTGTTCTCAGAACCAATCTTTGTGAAGCTATATACTCTGCCCAAGATGCCGATGCCATTTGCCAAGGCCCTCTGAAGAGAACACTTTCACTCTCAGAGAGGGGTAGGCCATTTGATAACCGCAGATTGATGATGAGAATGGCTTCTGCAGCTGCTCCTACCAAGAGCAATGGGGCAAGTCTCTGTGCTTCTCTGGTGACAGGGTCAATGACAGCCACGACATCAAAGTATGTCTCCCTTTTCTTTGGGCTCAATTTAATTGCACTGCAGAGATCAAAAATGAGAAAACATTAAAGGAAAATAAGTAACCAAGTTAACCTGCTTTATTTTTATTTTGGTCCAACACAACCAATCAGCCCTTCTGACATTTCAAAAATAACTTCAGATCTAGAACAACGAGGCTACGTAGTGGTCAACTAAATGATTATGTCTACTTCATAGTTAGCAAAACCCTCCAACAATGCAGGTTCACTCAAAATGGATCAAAAAATTTGTGTGGAGAAACAAAAATCAGCTTGACATTGAATTTAACCAAAAACTGCTAGAAGCTTCTGGTGTTAGTTTTTGACAGTTATGGGGCATTATGCCAATTTTTATATCTTGTCAAGAGGGTATGAGAGAAGAAAGAAGGTAATCTTTTTTAATAATTAAAAGGAACAGAGCAATTGCAAACTTGCAAGATAGAAAAAGGAAATACTCATAGAATGTCACTATTCCTACCCAACCACTTGGTGCATATTTCTGAGTCCTAAAATGCTTATACAAAGATCAGCTATACCTTGAGAATATCACAAATTTTATATCAATTATCTTAATTTCCCCACCACTTTATCACAAAGATTTTAATTTTTTTAATTGAGGTATCGTTAGCTTACATTTTTATTGGTATTCTGTAAGCACAGAATCCACAGCTCCTCAGGCGTCGTTACCATAGTCTTACAAAGATGTTTTTCCATGCTGCTGCATATCAGATATCCTGACTAAAAGTGATCTTCTATTTGTGCAAGTGAATCTGTCATCGCTTTACTTAAGTTATTCCTTATTGCTAAAATTTAATATTTTTCAACCTTTATACTTCCACCTCTTCTTGCAATTTCTACAGAGTTGACAAAGCCCTAGACATGAAGTTACTAAGTCATAAGATATAAATATTTTTGTGGCTAATATGTACTGTCAATCACATTTCCCGAAGAATTAAATTTACAAGGCCAAGAAATGAACTTCACCATATCACTGTAAACATTGACATATTTAACCTGCTTTTTTTTTTAATATAATAGTTTATTTTTACATCATTTTGTGCATTTTTCCATCTCAGTTGTAATCCCCGTGGGCTTCCCATCACCAAATCACCCATGTGCCATCACCATAGTCCAGTGCATTTCCCTCCCACCACTGTTTTTGATCCCATTCCCCACTCCATCCCCATAAAATGTCTCTGGCACATAGCTGTTCATTATTATTATTATTTTATTGCCTGGTCCATTATACTCCTGCTATGAGTGAAACTATCTGTTATTTTTCCTTTTCTTTCTGGCTTATTTCACTAAGCATGATCTTTTCCAGCTCCATCCATGTTGCTGCAAAAGGCATGTGTTTATTTATTTATTTATTTTTGGTTGCTGAGTAATGTTCCATGGTGTATATGTACCACAGCTTTTTAATCCAGTCATCCATTTTTGGGCATTTGGGTTGTTTCTATGTCTTTACAACTGTAAGTAAAGCAGCAATAAACATGGGGGTACAGGTATATTTTTGAATCAGTGTTTTTGAGACATATTTAACCTGCTTTTAATAAGTAAAAAAAAAACGTGGTTGATTTCAGCTTGCACTTTAAGATTTCTGGGGAGAATTTGTATTTCTGCATTCTCCAGTAATAAGGCATCTTGTCTTAAGTTATATTAAGAAACTTAACAGGACCAGGAGTTTCTGATACATTTTAAAATGTATCCCTGAAGGATTTAAAAATACATTCACTTTTCCCTAAACAATATTTGTTTAAATCAATGTTTATTTTTCTTTCTTCTGAACAATTGGTACTAATCTGGTACCAATGCTAACCACAACTCTTACATGCAAGAACACTTATTTACTGAAAGGGGTTAAGAACAAAACAACAAAATAGAATATAACTAAAAAAACTGTGTCATAATAGTTTAAATGGTGATAAAGTTATTGCTTTGGAAATGCAGCTGACTTCTGAACAACAATGGATCCAAACTGCATGGGTCCACTTAGAGATTAGTTTTGTATCCATAGTTCCACATTCACAGATTAAACCAACCCTGGATATCCAGGTAAAGTCCATGGATATGGAAAGCCAACTATAAGTTATGAGAGGATTTTCAAGTGCTCAGGGGCTGATGCCTGTAATTCCCACCCCCTATAACACCTTTCCAAGGGTCAAGTACCATCATAAAACCATATGAATGTACTGCAGTAGGTGTTTTCAATTTCTGATAATATTAATAGTTCCAGTTGTCAATGATGATCCCAAAACAATGAACTTATATTTTACTCTAATATAGCCATCCTCAAGAATCAACTATGAGAAAGCACAGGTCACTTTAAAGTTCAATCTATCCTAGACCAAAATAGAATAGTAAAGAAGCAGGTTGCAGGCTTCTGTTCCTAAGGCCTACTTCATGATTCTAAGCCTCAATATTCGCCTGAATAGGCAAAAGTCACATAATATCAACCACGGAAAGTTCTTCCTAGAGACAAGTTAATCTGAGGTCTATTCATGAAGAAACAATCCCAACTATGTAACATTTCACACGACAACTGGCTTGTCACAGGTTCATTATCATAACTGCTCTCCAACAAAAAGTTTTTTTAAAAGAAGTGCAAGAGCTGCACTATGAAGCTATCTGCAGCCACTGCAGCAAGAGTTCAATCCCCAGCAAGGGAGCTGACCCATATGGCATGGTGGACCTCTCCTGCCTCACCCACTGCTCCCCTCAGCAGTGTATTTCAGTCAATCTGACTATTCAGCTCCCCACTCTGTATCTAATGAACCCTCACACCTCCCATATCTCTGGCCAGTACCCCAGTTCCTGTATGCAAACATAAATATGTCTTCAAAAAAATAAATCTTCTGAATTAAAGGATACTAAAACTAAAGAGATACAACCAGCTGTAATGTGTGAATTGGATCAAAATAAACAAAAAAAAAAATTTAAAGGTCATTATTAAATCCTTGGACAAATATGAATATGGTTTGTATATTACTGAACATCACTGTATCAAGGTAAAATTTCTACGATATGCTCATAACACTGTCGAGAAAGTCTTAGTACTGAGATGGTATGTCCTGAAGGATTAAGGATATCGTGTAGTCCGCAACATATTTCAAACAGTTAAGAAAAATTGTGAGTATGTTTGCATGAAAATAAAAACCATTATATACTACACATGCATGCATACACATATACATGAACATACATATATACACACACACACCCAGGAATGTGGCATAATGTTAACAAATGGTGAAATCTAGATTAAAGGTATTTTAAATGGTCACTTTAATAGTCTTAACTATTTGCTAGGTTTTGAAAATTTTCAAAATAGAAAGTGGAATATAAAAGGCAAGAACTTCTTCATAATACTAAACTTATTTTTATTTTATTGAAAACAAAAGTTTTCAGTAATTAAGGAGATGTGTTATAACAATCTGTTTATTACTGAATATCAGAAATTACAACAGACGGGTGCACTCTGAACTATTTCAGATCTGTTTGGAAATAAGGAAACTAACTTTTATGTACTGAGATATGTATATGAATTTTACATATGAATATGTATGTGATAACTGCAGACCAGATAAATTTTCCCATCCTGTAGGAAATTAAATACACATATTATATGGAAAAATAATGCAGCTGAAGTCAAGGTAACCAAAAGAGTTTAATATTGAAGAATATGTGCAAATTCATTATTGTTTCCTTACCTGTGCTTGTCTTCAAAAAACTGGTACTCAACTCTTGTATCACCTTTCGGTTGAGCTGACAGGAGAGCATCCACCTTCATTACCAAGTCACTAGCCCTGCAAGAGTGGTTGGTGAAAATTTAATATCTTTTTGACTGAGGTTTTTCCAGCTTTTGCTGAATATACTATCATTAGCCTAAGAATTGAACAGCAATGTGATGGTTTCAAGAAAGCACAAAATTTGCCCAGACATGAGAAAAAGTGCCAATTTTATAACTAGTAGTTTTATAGCCATGGGGAAGGTGCTGTCTTTTCCAGATGTGAAATGAAGAGAACACCTACTCCAAATGACTCTTGTAAATATTGAGCTGGCTAAAGATATCTAGCAGCTAGCTCAGGGTTCAACCTGTAACAATTATTTATCTCTCTCACCCCCTTCTAAATAACTCTATTACTTTTTTCATAATTATTAAAATAATTCACTGGGAAAACATTCTGGAAAAAATATATTAGAAGAAAACTGAGATACAAACAATATACAATACCATCAAAATCATGCACTAACAATACTTTGACAAATATTATTCTATACTGAAAAACATATGTACATATCTAAACAAAAGTACCTGATTTAACAAAATCAGTATTTAACAAAATACTATAAACATGCCTTTGTTGATAAATAAGTACAGGTGTACATCTATACTTTTAGTAATTGCACAAAATTATTTTTATGCTATTGAATTTCTAGGTTGTTTTCTATCTCACTATTATAATCAACATTGTTGTAAACAACTTAGAAAAACATTTCTGCCTTCCCTGTTCCTTCTAAAGTTGCTTTTTAACCAAAGGGCATCTTGAATAAATCATGAGAGACAAAAAATAAAGCTTTAATCTCTTAAACCAAACATTAAATTCCAAGAATTTCAAGAGTACCTGTGAATACAAGGAGAACTGGAATCAAGCCTATGTGCTCACTGAATCAAACAATGACATCAAATTACCTCTTTTGGTTCAACTTCTCAATACATATAATAAAGTCATTTGCTACTCTGATTGTTAATACTGTCACAAACCAGGTCAGGGGACACTGTTATGTAGCCTGAGCTGAGCAGGCAAAGACAAGACTCCCCTAAAGGCTCATGAAACACCGTGACCAAAAAGCCCACAACCAAAGTTCAGGCAGTTGAGAGCGTGTGGCGCAGCTCTGTGTCTTGAATGAAAGCTGTGGCTGCCACAGGGGGCCACAAGCTGAAGCAGCTGTGGTGCTAATGAAAATGCTGGACAGGAAAGGTCATTCTGAGAACCCTAGTAGTTTTAGCAATGATCTTTTTGGCAGTCCCCAAACAATCTTATTTCCCCTAAATTCACCCAGGACAGACTCAGAACCGTATTTGCTTGGTAAAAGACAACTTTTTTGTATATGTCTGCTAATTCTATAGTGCACAAATTTCCAAGAGGGTTCTCCCAAGCCTCCAGAGAGAGGGAGTAACTCAATGGCTCACTACACCAAGGCTATGCCCAGGACTTCCAGTCATAATTTCAAGTCATGAAATACCTCCTGGCCTGCACAAGAGGTAATAGTCAAGACCAATAAGGTAATGGGAACCTCTTTATCTGCAGAGGCTGAAATGAAAACATGCTTCTTCCCATATCATGTAAGACTTGATAATGGGACTATTTTGGCAGCTACCAAAGTCAACGTTTCACTAAGACACGTATTTTGAACTCTACCACATGACGAGGTCTGGAAAGGGAGAAGGAAAAAAAAATAGAACTCCTGAAACTATGCACCAAAAGACACAATTAAGAGTATGAAAAGGTAATCCACAAAATGAGAGAAAATGTTTGCCCATTATAATCTATAAGAGAAACATACCAGAATATATAAAGAACACCTACAACTCAAAATCATTTGAAATTGGCAAGAGATCTGAATGGGTATTTTCCCAAAGACATACAAGTGGCCTTAAGTTCTTGAAAGGTATTCAACATTATTAGTTACTAAGGAAATGCAAATCAAACTACAAGAGATAACACTTCACACCCACTAGTACAGCTAGTATCAGTAAAGTCAAAAAACAAAGTATTGGTATGTATGTGGAAAAATTGGAACCCTAATTAGCATTGCTGGGAGGAAAAGGAGAAATTGAAGACTCTAAAAAAGGTTTGGTACCTTAAAAATTAAACAAAAATACATCCTGTAACCTCACACAGACTTGATATTTCATGCAGAAAGCATGTATAGGTTATATATGATTACAATCGTACATAAACCAGTCAAATAGTTTACTTTCTTCCATTAAGAGAAGCCACTGATTACAATACATTGGCTGGTAGTAACACCAAAAGAATAAAATAAAAACAAAACCAACAATGACTCATTATCACCTTAGAGGCTATAAGAACAACAACTCCTGATTCCACCCTGGGAAGTAAGGGGAAGAATAGCATTTAATCTGCCTTGCCTTTTCTGAGTGAAATAGAGCAGAAGGATAACCAAACAGATAATGAGGGAAAGAATCCCTTTATGTAAGTATTCCAAAGTAAAAAAGTAATTCACCATCTACTTACATGATTGAATTTTTCACAATGGAAAGTTAAAACAATTAAAATAGAGAGAATTAATTCAATTCTTTAAAGAGCTGGCTACAAAATAAATTGCCGTGTTTCAAGAGAAGCACAAATAATAGTTGAACATTATTATATTTTAAACCTGGAAATAAAACATCTTGAAATAGGTAGCATGAACAAAGTTCAGTAACGGAGCCCCTATAACACAAACGCAGTAATTTCTTCTATGGTAAAACTTACTCATCTTCTTCTACCCGAAGTTGTTGAATATGAGACTTGATTTTCTGTCCTGAAGTTTTTAAGATGATATTTTCCAGGAGGTGGAAATCATCTTGATTAAAGAGCTCACTATCCTCCAGGGGCCCAATGATCTGTAGGGAAGAGCAAGATGATTAGTGCTAGAGGGTTGCCCAAACTCAGGAGGCAGTTACCGTCCTCTGCCGTCCTCAAGCTGTTTTTATAAACCAGTGAAAGACACAACACATATATACATCTAAATAAAATTGTAAAAAAGTAAAAATGAAACCCAAGTCAATTGCTCAACTACGTGTCAAAGTATTTTTATAGTAAGTAAACTCTAAAGTAAAATGAAATAGCAACAGTTTTCATTAATTCTCAATGATTAAACATAACAAGCCAACATACAGATATTTAACATCAGAAATTTCACTCTAAAAGTTTAAAGTCTGTGGTATGTCTACTGCAGGCTCATTTCAGTGGCTCATAAAATATTCCAAGCCTAAACCAATTAAAATACAGAGGCTGCACAAATCATAACCATGGCTCCCACAGGGGATAAGAACTTCATGTATCAAAGGCCTTGCTAATTTGCATTCTGACAGCCACCACACTCTCACCATCCTACAAAGGCAGGACAAACTTAAACAGCAAGGAGGTTTTACACAAAGACCTTAATGTCAAAATGAGCAAACTTGCTCTGAAATAAAGGAGCAGGAAAGTTTCATCAGCACTACATAAGCCCTAATCACCTGGGGGAAAATAGTTGTGTTTGAAGAGTTTACTAGCTTCTGAAGAGAATGCTGCCAAGACTGCTCAATGATCTAATTTGAAGCCAAGTTTGTCTCAGGACAAAATCCTCACCCGTCCATTGCTGACCACTGCCCTCTGTCCCTTCTTCAGCTTCAGAACATCCCTGCAGTACATGGCATGAGACAAAATGAAATCCATTTTGGAGAACTCAAAGGCCTCTTGAAAAAGTCTGAAATCCATGCCCTAGGAAATCGTTATGAAGGAAAAATAATTGTCACTGAAGAAGCCATAAAAATGAATGATCATGATGAATAAATAAATACACTTTTTAATGGAAAGTAATTAACATTATAATGCCTCAATTCTCTACTTTCCCTTCTATTTTCCCCCATATTCCCACTTATCAAGTAATGATTATTTCCTGTTGCATTCACTCAGCAAATTATTTCATAATACCTATATTCCGCATCTTAAAATTTGACTAATTTCAAGTGAGTTTTTTCCCTAGCATAAACATCAAGTACAGTCATCATTTTATAAGCAACTTTAAAATTATAAAATGCTTACTCAAGATATATGTAACATATAAATAAACAAACACGGGTATGTACTAGAAAAATATTAAGAACTCATATCCTTTAACTTACAAGAGGATTAAATCTCAGTTTTTTGCTCTATGAACAAATCAACTATAGGCTCTCTTTTAAAAACCAAAGGTTTTTAAGTCAAAGGTTTTATGCTTAAAAATATATAGAAATTACATCATGCACATCTTAAAACCTAGCAGTTTAGAAGTAATAAAGGAAATATGGTAGAACTGTTATTTATTAGATTCTTCTAAATTAAAAAAAAAATTCCTCTCGGATTCAGAACTAAAATTACAAATGCTGATCCTGAATACGACATATCAACCCACAGAAGTGACTGAGAGCAGAAAGCCACCTCAAGCAGCACACAGAGACTTACCCCAACAGAGAACTCCCCAATGTCAGCTCCTGCAGCCAGGGCCTCTGCAGTTTCCTCTTTAGCCATTTTTGTGATAAAGTTCTTAGCAGAGTTGGAGGTCTGCGTCTGGAGAGCTGCCCAGATTGCTCTGGAGATTTTAGAGTTTTCAGAGCTCACCTCTTCACTAGGATTATTGATCATGCTTATTCTAACATTGTTACTGGATTTCTATTTATAAAATAGGAAATGATAGTTATATGGCAGATTTTTGAACTTAAAAAACAGCATTATTCTCAGTTATTTCCTTAATCAGTAAATAATAACTCTCCAACGCCTTCAGTAGTTCCCTGATACAGAATAAAACTAAAATGTTGTCTAGCCAGGTATTCAAGTTCCTATATAAACTGGTTCCCAGACTACCTTTCCAGCTTTAAAGCATTATTACACACCATCAGTCAGTATTTGCCCCACACATTTTTATTCTAATATATGCCTCCCTATCTTTACTTTCTTGAGGCCCAATCATTCTTCAAGATTCTGTCTAAACCCTTCTTCAGGGGAGCAAGTGAGAAAAATAAACCCTTATTCATTTACACAGCCTTTCTAGATTTCTAATAAATTCAATTCTTCCTTGGTAAAAGGACAAGAATTCATGTAGGAGAAAATATCTGAGACCCATAAAGTCAAAAAAAAGGCTTGTAACAAGAACATAAATTCTAAAGACAAGCACATCTATTTGCAGCATTCTTCAAAATAGCCCCAAACTATAAACATCCCAATTGTCCACAAAATAGATAATACAAACAAAACTGTGGAAACAGACATAAGACACAACACTACACACTGCAAAAAAATTACCACTATTTATAATTTATAATTTATAATTCAGCATTTCAAAAATGCTGAATAAAGAAGATGAACACAAACAAACATATATCACAAGGAGCGCGCTTTTCAGGAATATTATTCCCTATTTCTTGACGTGGGTGGCAGTTACATGGGTATATTCATTTTGTGACACTGTGTATCCTATGATCTGTGCACTTAGTTTGAGCCCATACTTTTACTTCAATTAAAATAATTAAAAATTCAACTACCTCCCTGGTCCCCCAGTCCACCATCACAGGACACCATCACACCATCATACTTATCCTTTGATCTGGACTCTATACATGTAAATTACACACAATACCTAATTGTCCCCTTTCACAATACAGGCACTCAACATGTTAGTGAAATAAAAATAACCTGGATATTTTGGTATTTCAGTATTTCAATAGCCTCTTTGGAACAGTAGCCTCTGTTAGGGGACACCAGAGGGCTGATGAAATCTGGACAAAACTACTCCACAACAGAAATTGTAATGTCTCATTCTCTAAAAATGACACTACTAGAAGAGTCCATTTCTTTTCAACTACTCACCACTGAAATTTGCTCAAGTTCTGTAATTTATGGGCCACCTTTCAGACCATCCATACACGCATGCCTTTGCAAGTGTATGTCAACTTCTTTTATGCTCATACTAACATGCCTACATGTATTTCCCCCACATCTGAATCTCACTCAAAATATGGACCTCATCTCCCTATACAATATACATGATGTTTGCAGTATCTCTGTAGCAAGAATATGAATAGTGATACAATAAAAATCAGTCTGAAAAAATGTGCAAAATGATGTAAAAATAAACTTTGTAATAAAAAAAAAATCTAAAAAAAAATCAGTCTGTATTTTTCCGCTATTCCCTTAAATAAAAAAAAAGGTGAGTTACAGTCTCCTCTCTTTTCTCAGTGGCTGACAGACCTCTACAGAAACAAAAATTCCTTACCCTCAAGGACTAAAAGAGCAGGGATCCCATCTTCCCATCTGTCAATAGCATCAACACAGAAGCCTATAAGGGCAGCTACAGTCTCAAAGATACAGAATCAAGTTAGAGATACTTGCCTGATGTTTAATAGCATCATACAATAATTGCCTTCCAGAAGGTCTATCAAAATCCCCGACAATCCAAAAAGTTACTGGCCTAATGAAAGAATCATCTGTAGAAAATTAAAAAAAAAAAGCATTCTGAGTTGGTAGAGAAAACAGTACATTCTGTATGTAAGTGTTGTTATTAAATCAAGCAATTTCCAAAAACCATGCAAAAAATAAAGTAAGTTCAATAAAGATAAAAAATAAAACCAGTTAAATTTCTATATTAGAACAAAAGCAGGATAATCTCTGTGGCTTAATTGCAAATTAGGAACATGCACTTGACATTCTATTATGGTTTGGGCATCTGTTAGCATATAAACTGAAAAACAATCATTTGAATGATGCCATATTATAGTTTTTGATCATATTAATTTGTAACTTTCTGAAATGTAATTCTTTTCTGAAATGTAAACATTTATAAAATATTCACTGTTACAGATGGGTTTTCAATGAGTGTCAATAAATTCTGAATTACAATGATGCCTGAAACCATATAAAATAATTTTTAAAAGGAGTAAGACATTCTGAAGTTGAAAGTTACCATAGATTTCCTTGGAGGACATTCCTAGACAAAGGTAAAGGAAAAAGAATAGAAGGAAATAAAATGCCATGTCTATAATCGATGCCTCTCATAAAGAGTTAAATAGTTTAAAATAATGCTTAACCTGACTGACATTAACTTTCTCAGTACCACTGTATTACAGTACTGCCCAAGCCCCTTACACATAAATTCCGCAAGGAGCCAAAAGGAGCTATTATCTGTATCCATGCATATCTGCAAAATCAGAAAAATCTCTGACTGATAAAAGTAACTGCCTTCTGTTGACAGCACTTTGAAAGGACAAGAAGTATGACTAGAAGGACAAGCACCTGGCAGTCATTAAAAGGATAGTGTTTTATATAATTTTTGCCTAAATAAATTACTCCACATACAAATCAATTTAAAAACTCCCACAAGGATTTCTAGAACTAAATTTCTTATAACCATTTAAAAAAAAAAAAACAAAAAAAAAAACGTGTTATCAGTAAAGAACAAAGTCAAACCAGTTTTAAATATATTAATTCATTTTTTTCCATTTTAAACCATGAAAACTTTTTCCTTTTAACTTTACTATGTTAATATCTAAGGTATAACCATAGCAATTTAATTTTTGAAACTACATAAAGAATTACATTTTAAATATAGCCTATACTCCAATCATCATAATAAGAGTATGGAATCTTTTAATTATTTTTACAAATACTATAATCAAATTTCTTTTAATCCAGGAAAAGCCTAAAGTTTAGTACCTTTTTTTGTCAGATACTTCATACTATTGGCTATAGCAGCAGTCTTCTCTTGGGAATTCAAGACAGAAAATCTAGCATAGTCATCCACAAAAAAGTTATCTGGAAAAAAAATTGAAAATGTTTATAAATAATATGCCTAAATTCAATCAAATGTTATTACTGAGCCAACCATCCAATTTGATCAGAATATGGGTTTAATAAAAATACATATGCAGAGTAAGTTTCATATTATCGAAAAGGTTCACATGATACCTATACCTCATTAATCACATCTAAAGAAAAAGCTGATTAAAAATAATGCACCCATGTACAAAATGATGTAAAAATAAAATTAAAAAAAAATAATGCACCCATCTTACATAATTTGCACATATGTACATGTAAATTTAATGGTTCAAATTTATTCTATTCCCACCCTCATCACTCTACAACTAGATAATGGTTTATTTTTTTATTTTTAGATTTATTTATTTATGCATACAGAGCTGGGGTACAGGCCAGAGGTGTGTAGGGGTGATGAGAGGATTCACCAGAGACAGAGTGGGGAAGAGAACAGGCAGACTGTCTAAGTACACTGCTGAGGGGAGCAGCGGGCAGGTCAGGAGAGGTCTGCCATGCCATTTGGGTCACCTCTGGGGAGGGGATTGAACTCAAGCTGAAGTGGCTTTAGTTTCTTAGTGCTGCGCTTTAACCCACTGTGCCACCAGGGAGGGCTCAAGAATGGTTTATTAAAATGATCCCCTTAATTCCATCTTGCCTTGCCACAGTCTATCCACCCAAGTAAGCTCTTCCCTATCCTACTAAATGAGAGAAGAGTGACTATTAGAGAATATATAAGAAATCCATGATTTGTATGTCTAACAAAATAATAAATTTTGACTTCAACTGAGACAAAAAGTCATTTTCATTATTTCAGAGCTCTACCTTATCTGATTAGTGACATAGGCAATACTCTTTGTAATCGTTTTCTCTCACACTACTCTTGCTAAGATTCCAATTTCATCAAGTTGTTTCTTTGTTCTAAATTACCCAGTAATTTCTTCCTACCTATAAAATGTCTCCAATATGGTATCATAAAACCCCTATCTAGCAGTCTCCTCAAAGTTGTGCATTAATATACCCCAATACAAATACCACTCTTCTCCTCCTTTCCTTCAAGCACAGTTTGCTTGTCCACCCAATCACCGCCTTGTCCAGTCATTCACCCATCTATCCCATCATTCAGTGCACTGAGAGCTATTACCTTTTTAGCCAATATTCTAGTAAATGAAAACAGGATAAATGAGATAGACATGGCCTATGACAGGAGAGGAGAGAGAGCAGTGAGGCTTTAAAAATAAGTATCTTCTAAAAGGGGCCCAGGACACGCAGTATAGGTGATAGAGGGGTGAGCATGGGATTAGAAGGGCTGTCAGCTGCTCTTTCACTGATGCTACAAAAAGCTCTTAGGCAGGCTGCATCTTTGTAACCATAGGTCAGCACTGTCTCACTGCTGAATACCCTAAACAATAAAAGAGAGAACCAAAAATACATTAACTATTTTTACGTCCTTATTCATGAGTGCTCCAAGATAACTCTTTTACAGTTTAATTTAAAATGATGGAGAGAACAAAAACTCATGACAAGATCTCAACTCTGCTTGCCTTGCTCTACTAAAACATCTGATAAAAATCTAGCTGTGCAGTAACACTTTCTTTTTTTAAAAAAATATTTATTTATGCATACAGAACTGGGGTGCAGGCCAGATGTGCAGGAATGGAGAGAGGATTCACTAGAGACAAAGTAGGGAGCAGAACAGGTAGATCAACTGAAATATACTGCTGAGGGGAGCAGCGGGCAGGTGAGGAGAGGGCTGCCACACGATGTGGATCAGCTCCCTAATGGGGGAATCAAACTCATGCTGTAGAGGCTTCTGAGAGCTTCATTGTGCAGTGCTTTAATCCACTGTACCACCAGGGAGAGTCCTCATTGCTTTTATTTTTTATTTTTTTTTTAAAGATTTATTTATTTATTCGTACACAACTGGGGTACAGGCCAGAGATGCGGAGGGTGAGAGGATTCACCAGAGACAGAGTGGAGTACAGAACAGGCAGATCGACAAAGTACACTGCTGAGCTCAGGGAGCAGCGGGCGGGTCAGCAGAGGTCTGCCTCGCCAAGTGGATCACCTCCGGGGTAGGCGGGAATCGAACTCATGCGGAGGTGGTTTAAGCTTCTTTGTGCTGTGCTTTAACCGCTGCGCCAGCAGGGAGGGCCCCTCATTGCTTTTAACCTGTTGTGCCACCAGGGAGGGCCCAAAAACTCATGACAAGGTCTCAACACTGCTTGCTTTGCTCTACTAAAACATCTGATGAAAATCTAGCTGTGTAGAAACACCTGAGCTCACTTTCTAACTACTTTCTTTTTCAAATATGAGCACAGATGTGTCTTTCTCTCAGCCTATCCATGAACATTTCCCTCTTACTAAAAGAAAAGGAAACTCTGTATTAAGTGGATTAGATAGTTGCCATAAGTAGATCTATGTACTCATTACATTCAACTACAACAGCGAATGGATTTTGTTTTGACTTCACCATTATACTCATTATTTCTTGCTCAGTAAGATTTCCTAGGCAAGTGATGACAGCTCCAACTTATTTCCAGCTCTTTGCTAAAGTGGCGTTCAGAATCTCCAGAGAAGGAGTAACGAACAAACTGCACCTGCACTTAACATATCTAGCTTGTAAAAGGCATTCTTGTGGAAACAACCCATATCAATCACTTAAAGGATAGGCAAAGTATAGAGCATCTATACAACAGAATGTCATCAGCCATAAAAAGAATGAAGCACTGAGATGGGTTACACATGGATGAATTTTTAAAACATAATGGAAAGTGAAAGAAACCAGTTACAAAATCGTCTAATTAATGAAATATCCAGGATGGAAAAAAATCCATGGAGACATAAACTAGATTAGTGGTTACTGGGGATAGGAGAAGAGGGAAATGGAGAGCAAAAACTGTTGGTACCATCATTTCTTTTGGGAGTGATAATCATGTTCTAAAATTAGTGATGATGACTGCAAAACTTTGAGAATGTTAAAAATCATATACTTTAAAACTGACTATTTTTAAAGGTTGAGTTTTATGCCATACACACTATTTTTCAATGAAGCTTTAAATCTTAAAAAAAAAAGATATTCTTAGGTTCTCAGAGTGAATGATACAGATACTTGATGGACTCTAAAATGAGGATGAAGAAAAGGTAGCTGCGTAAGTGTTTTATGGGTGACGGAAAGTCAACAATACAAGGCCATTTTATCATCTAATGCCTGTGTAGTTGGCATTTAAATGGCACTGAATATTTTGTAAGGATTTTCTTTCCTTTTGGAGTGCTCTTGTGAATTTAGAAGTTCCTATTATAAAATCAAGACTCAATGAGTTTAAACATAAAGCTATGTCACAATTGTGAGTAACGTCTGAGCTTTATGATCCAATAAATATAAAGATTTCAAAAATAAATCAAAGTAAGTCCAAAAGTGTTCCTAAAAGGTCCTCCCTGGTGGTGCAATGGGTTAAAGCACAACACTAAGAAGCCTTTGCAGCCACTACAGCACAAATTCAATCCCTGGCAGGGTGGTGACCCACATGATGCAGCAGACCTCTCCTGACTTGCCTGCTGCTCACCTCAGCAGTGCATTTCAGTCCATCTGCCTGTTCTGTCCCCACTGTCTCTGGTGAATCTTCTCACCCCTTACACCTCTAGCCTATACCCACCATTCTTATATGCATAAATAAATAAATCTTTAAAAAAAAAAAACATTAAAAAAAATTAAGTGTTTCCTGCATTGTCTGCATTGGAACCACACAATAAACATCCTTTTCCTGTGAAATAAATAAATAAACAAATAAGTAAAGTGCTCCTTACTAGTTGCTGTTAAATCCAGATATTCTCGCTCTGCTGTCAAAATCCTAGAATTGATTCGTGGAACAACATTTGGTTGATTCATGATATATTCTACCACGTCTTGATCATGGGATAATTCACCCTACAGGAAAAAAGAAACAGGTAGTTGGGAGTTGGAAGGTAGAATGAGCTTTATAAAAAGGTGATCAATAATAATTTATTAGAAACTAAAAAATCATTAGCTTCATAATACCTTCCTATTCTTGGTAATAGCTAAAAACAGAAGTTATCGCATTATAGGAACCTGTCATTGTCTCTGGTGAATCTCATCCCTTACACCACTGGCCTGTACCCACCATTCTTATATGCATAAATAAATCTTTTAAAAAAGAAGTATTAAAAAAAATTAAGTGTTCCCTGTTATGTACATTATGTAGCGTATATCTAAGTCTTTCAACAATGTGAGGCAGATGTGAGTGATACCCATTTTAAAGAAGAGGGAGCAAGGTAGGGAAAGATAACTTACTCAAAATCAGAGATAATGAAAAGTGAATGTGAAATGTAAAGTCAAGTATATGGGACCTCTACACACACCATTGTGCTTTGCTAGAAATAAACAAGCTCTACAAATTAGAGTTAACATAAGCAGAAATTCATTTTAGTAGTTAGCTTCTCTCCAAAAAAGAAAGTCATGGCCTTCTTTCAAGCAGTTGATGTATTTGTAACAAAAATCATCTCCAACAACATACCTGGAGTGAAGGGATCATGCTCAGTGAAATAAGTCAGAAGAAAAAGAAAAATATCAGATATTATAAGAGGAATATAGGGGAACCAAAAAAGGGATCAAGGGAAAAAAAATTATCAGGCAGCTATAAATCAGAGGCATTCTGCAGGGAAGGGAAGGGAGATGGGATCAAAATAAGAGAGGGAAAATCAAGGAACTATGCTGATGGTGCACAGATGAAGTGGAGATGGAAATTTTACAGAGACTACACCTGAGAGTAGAAAGCAAATATTGTACATAAATGAACAGCGATGTAAAAATACTTATATATAAATAAATAAATTTAAGATAAAAAATTAAAAAGCATCCAAGCATTTTTCCCAATTTCAGGCAACAATTAACCTCTACTTTCAGGGTCACATTGGAAGGAAGAGAAATCCACTTATCATTAATTTTCACTTTCATATCTCTCATATTATAGAAATAGCTGTACTTCATGAAGTAATTTCAGAGACAAGTATAAAAGGCTGTGGAAATCTCCAAGTTCTCCACACATAAAATATCTTAAAATTATATATTTAAATGAGTTTCAAGAGAAAAAAAGATATGCATCAAATATACAGTCAAGTCTAAAGTATTCCAGTTGACATAGATTTATCCCTACAGAGATCACTCATATACAAATTCTCAAACTACAAAGTGATAATGAACACATGAATCAACCATGTAACTTAAGAAACTTACAATAATATTAAGATGACTCAGTATAGGAGTAAATCCATGTATACAACTCTGATTTCTATCACAAATCACACTAATTCCAGTCAGTCTCATATACCTCATGGAGGGCAGTCTGACAAACTCTATCAAAATTGAAACTATTTTACATAACTTTTGCTGTAGTCCATCTATACCTGTAGCCCATCTATACCTATGCAAGGTGTACACACACATGCACACATTTTCCAGAATAGGAGTATCCAAAAAGAGAGCAAAATAAATGGGTTATAGTTTCTCTTCATTTATACCTCTATATACATTTTTAATTTCACAGAATTTGCATATCATATCTTTTTATAGTTCAAATTTTAAATGTATATTTCTCTTTGCCACAACAACTTCAATTGGTACTGAAAGAAACAGGGCACAATGATATAGGTGGGTAGGTAGGCACAGACAGACAGATATCAGAATATTCACCAAAAAAAATGAGAAAATACCCCATGCTCATAGGCTGAGAATTAGCATTATTAAAATGGCTATATATTACCTAAAGTAATCTATAGATACCATGCAATCCCTACCTAAATTCCAATGGCATTCTTCACAGAAATAGACAACCATGAAATTTGGAAATTTTACAAAAGACTTCAAATAGCAAAAACAATCTTGAGAGAAAAGAACAGAACTGGAGGTGCCATGCTCCCTGCTTTCTGACTATATTACAAAGAGACAGTAGTCAAAATAGCATGGTCCTGGAATAAAAACAGACACAAAGGTCAATCAAACAGAACCAAAGGGTGAGAAATAAATCTACCCATATATGGACAACTAATTTATGAGAAAGGAGGCAAAAGCATACAATGGAACAAAGAGAAGGATAAGGAGGAAGTAGAAAATGAAGGAAGAGGAAGACCAATGAAAATGAAGGAAGAAAATTCAGCACTTTTAATAACAATGAAAATCGAAAAGCAATGCCCAACAATAGGGGCTGATTGAGATACTAAAAGTACTGAGAAAGAATTGTTTGTTCAGAAATGCAAAACTAAGATGTATTAATAGAAAAGTAAAAATGCACACATATGAGCATGTATAGACATATAAACACATGAAAATTATGACCAATTTCTCTACAGATTAGGTAAAGAGAAGAACTTTCAAATTACTTACTTTAATTTTTTACTCTAAATTTGGTATTTTATAACTATTATTTTCTATTACAATATTTAAAATTAAAACATTTTTTATTTAAACCAAAATGAACTTCCTATTGGCAATACAAAAGAAAGCAGAGAACTAGAGTCTATGAATGCCTGATGTTTGAAACAACCCTCTTTTTTTTTTTTT